GGGAAAATACACGTTAAAGATTTGAAACCCTACGTGGCTTGATCTGCGAGTAGGTGTCGTTCGTCACGTTAGCGGGTCCGGATGGCGGAGATGTCGGAGCAGCAGGCGCTGCGCGAAGCGGCGGAACTGTTGGAGGAGGCTGCCGCGCGGAACCCGGACTTCTAGCGGAGGCTGCGCGAGGAGATCGGAAGAGTCCGGCTGAACAGCGGCGGGCGCCAGAGTCGGGCCACCCAGACGGCGGGCCCCATCGTCGACGTCGGGGTGCAGGCGAGCCCAGCGACGACCGAGCGGGCCGTCCAGACGGACGCGCCGGAGGAGGAGGCGCGTCCGGTCCAGGGCACCGAGCGGGCCGTGCAAACCGACGCGCCGGAGGAGGAGGCACGTCCCGTCCCGAGCTCCAGGCGGGCCGCGTCGCCCGACACGCCGAGGGCAAGCGGGGGCAGCGCCATGGCGCGGGCACACAGCCCTCAATGGGTCCACCGCCCCTACCCGGGCTGTTGGAATTGCGAGGCGCGCGGGCACTATTATAGCGAGTGTCCGCGCCCCCGCACCGCCCGACGGTTTTGCTTCCGCTGCGGACGCCGGGATACGACGCTGAAGGACTGTCCGGACTGTGGGGAAGCCTGGCGAGCCGAGGGCCCGTGCATCGAGGGTCGCGGCCGCGGACGATCCACCCCTTCCCTGCGAGGTGGCCAGCTCCCGTCGCTGAGGCGGAGCGGCGCGGGATCACCGCCGTGAGCGAGGAGGAGAGCCGAGCGGCCGAGGGCATGAAGCCGCCGAGGGGCCACGTCCGGCCTAATCATTATTCTTTTTCCGTTTAGCGCTCCTTTTTTCGGTCCTTTATTTTTTTCTCCGTTTTTCCGCGCGTCTCGATTCGGTCAAGATCATTCTTTTTTTGTTTGCGCGTTGATCACGATTTTCCTTCGTTTTTTTCCGTATTTTTTTTGTCGTTCGATTCCGATCCTTCCTTGCGTTCTCGTTGTGACAATAGTCATTAGTTTAGTCCTCGCGTCGATCATGACCTTCTTTATGTTTTAGTATAGATTCGGGCTTTTCTTTGTGGTTCGCGTTCGATCGCGACTTTATGTTCCCGT